CCTTTAAGCATTGCTAAATCTGAATAGTTTCAAAACAACATGTTAGTATACTGGGAGAATCAAGCTGTTCTGAGTCTCAAAAGGGCACAGGAAAATTCATTACTTCCAGCAGACTGCAGTACTGCAGAAGGGCACCTACTGAGAAAGCTAGCAGTAATTGAACTATCTTTTTGACAAAGGAAAAAAGCATAAAACAGTCTAATACTTAATGCTCTACATATGCTATACCATTCCCCAAAGTTTGTAACCACTGGCACAAGTATAGCTGCAAATGCAAAAATGCTTAAAAAAAATCACTGAAAAACAAACAAACAAACAAACAAAAACAAAAACCAACAAAAAACCCACAAATAAACCAAGCAGTGGTTGGTATTTTAAATTTCTAAGTGTGTATGCAATTTACATGGAGATTATTTTCTCTGTGTAGGTCTTTATTTCTTCCCTGAAGAGGAAGACTTAAACTAATCTGAAACTGGAACACACCATGCATGAACATACAGAATGTAGATTGGACTGAAAAACAGCTTAACTACCCAATCAACTCAAATTGAGTTTAAATAAAAGTCCTCTTAAAAAGACATTAATTCCAGAAATAAATATGCACATAAAGTGTATAAATGATATTTTTATATATTAAAGGTATGTGAAACATATTACTTCATTAATACTGAATAAATCCTACCATTTACCATTGCATACTCAGTTCTTATGATCTTTCTAAAAATTATAATGAACAAATTCGAAAGTTTTAATATTTTTGCCATCCTGAGTACTGTTTACCTTTTAATCACTTTGACAGTTGCTAGAACAAAGACATTATTTTACTGTTTTCCTTATATGAATACGCCATAGTGTTCCCACAGATGTTCAGCCCTCAGGGATTGATTTCAAGCCTGGAAGTCCAGGAGAACCACATGTGCAAGTACCATTACCTTCCAAGCATCAGTTGCTCGAAGAATCACTTGGAAGCAGTTTTTAAACTCAACATGAAAGACACTCAGAGACATCTTATAAGAACTACAATGACAACTTAGGCCAGAAAACACTGCCTGTCATTGAAAGCCTGATTGAAGCATATATTAGCTTCAAAAAGACAATTAAACCAGGCTTTGCCAAAATGAATGTCTGGCTTGGCCCCTCTGACTGTGCTTTTTCATCATGGCCTATTTACAAGTAGTGTATCTTTCTAATGTTTAGCCTTTCAAGTACAAGGAAATTCAAAAACTTGGCAATGACATAAGCATCTAAATGCATTCCATAAGAAAAAAAATGGGAAATACAAGCTTCGGATAAAGGCAATGCTTAGTGCAGCCACCATAAGATAAGAGCCCATGCAAAATTCCCCATCTTGTACAAACAAACACGGAGAGACATCACTGCCAGCAGGAGCATTAAGAGCTGTTGCTCAAGCCAGGTCTGTGCTGAGTCTTGTGCTGGAGAGAGTGTGAGGGATGCTGGAAGAGGACAGGGGGATTTGCAGTTTTAGTGCAGGCTTTAGCCATTGCAGCATCCACAGCAACTGCACACTCTGGGCTCCAGTTTCCAGGGGATCATTCAGTCCTGAGGAACAGAGGGGGTCTGGCAGAAGCTGAGTCAAGCACCCTCCCTGTGGCCCAAAGGCTGCACAGCAAAGAGCACAACACAGGGGGTTTAGCCAATTCAGTTCAAGAACTTACTATGAACTCCAGAGTAGAAAAATTTCCTCTACTTTGAGAGTTTAGGAGGTTTCACTCCTATAGGAGGAGTGTAGCATTTATTGAGATTGTGAAACAAATACTTATTGATGCTAATATTTATTTCTGATTTTAGCACTTCATAATACAGGAATGTCTAAAGATAAATCTTACATGAAACACAAGCTGCATCCTACTTTCAGTCTTAGCAATCACTTAGCCTTGTTTTACTTTTGGCTCCCATGAGAAAAGAAACCCTAGGACATCCTCTCTTCAAAATATGTTTTGGAAAGAACTAAAACCCCACATCAGTTTAGAAAGAGGCAAGCACTTGTCACTACACTGCTCTGCAGACATTTTTCTCTTTGGGTTTTGGTTTGTTTTCTCTTTTTCCCTCGTGTACGAGGCAACATAAAAAGGATTTGTCATGAGGAATCACTGTATTTTTTCTGCAAGAACTAAATGTGCTTTTTTGTAAATACATCTGAAGAAGAAAAACAAAATACAAACAAATTTCAGAATCCTCTAAGTTTTTGGAAGAGCATAATGAGTGATTTTGATGGAAGTTATAAAAAGAATGTATGAAAGCTCGTCTAGAAATCATCTTCTGCTGCAGTCCTACCTACAGTGTAATTTGAAGAAGAAATAAAAAAAGGAAAAAGGTAAATAGTAACATCTGCATCTCCATAATGCATATATGTGTGTACCTGAAGATGATATTGAATGTTGAGGTGTGCACAAGATAGTAGTTTCTAGTAGGTTTAAAAGGAGTAATTTTCTCTGACTAACAAGAAAACACAAAAGTTTGATGTACGTGTTTACTTCTAATCTTATTCAGCTATGGAAAACCTCATACTTGTTTTGAGCTATACTGATTCCAGTCTGTATATACATTTTTCTCTACATCAGAAGTACAGTATTTTCTCTTACAGTGCTCTGGGGAGTCTCACTTCCAAGATTCACTTCTTCATTTTGTGATACCTCTAGTCAAATGCAAGGGGTTTACATTCTACTACTGGTATGCACTTTGCAATTCACAAGTCCTAAAACTTGGAAACATCCATCCTTCATTCTACTATGAAAAGTCATAAAATAATTAATTTTCATGTAAAACTACTGTAAAAAATATTGGTGTAAAAGAAAACTATGCAGGATAAAGTTAAGACTTTGTTGGTTCCTCTTTGAAGTAAGTTCAGAAGAGGACTATCAGGTATTTTAAGACCAGATCTTATTGCATTCCATCTCTATTAGCTATTTTCCACAGGTACTTCCACAGCTGCAAAAGTTATAGATGTCGAGTACAAGGGAACAGTTGTGATGACAGATAATGTTTTGTGAAATGAATAAATGCACTTGGTGTGTTTAAAGGTTGAGATTGAAGCTTGGGATATGAGCATTGTAAGGGTCAATCCTCTGCACTGAAGGAAAAAAATCTTTTATTAAGTGACACACTGCTAGGGAAGGGTCATGTCATGTCCTACTTTAAGTCCACTTAGGAAAGCAATCCTAATGATGCCCTAAACATTTCAGCAGTCCTGCAGCTTGAGTCAGTATAGTTTACTAGAAATATGTAGGTCACAATAAGACAAATATATAGCACTATGGTTGCACAAAAATAGCAAAAAATGGCAAGTGAAAGAGAAGATGAAATAACTTGAGGCAGCCATATAGGAATAAGGTATGCAGACTCACCCAATTACCAATGGGTTTTTCTGTGTGGGAGTGATTACTTCCCTGTAAATCAGTGTGCAGAAAAAGAGGGAGCTGATTTGGGGCTGATAATCTGGCTCCTCTCAGCAAGTTATTAGACTGATATTTTGTTGTATTATTTATTGTCTTTTAATGTGTTAAACATGTTTTAAAAACATTTAAAATACATAAATAGACCAATCAATATCAGATTGTCATTGGGGAATCAAATGGAGCAAAAGTATTATCAGTAATGATAATAGCATACCATGAAGTCACATTGGATTTTCTACTTAAGAACAACATCCTCATATCAGTGACAGGGACAGTGACAGGACACTCCCCTAAACTATTTTCTTGCTTAACCATCTGTGTTCACTTACTTTCAGTTACAGCCTTTACTAGTTTTGGATTGATGATTCCTAAATTTGCAAATATCTCATTAAAAAATGTTCCATTTGGGCAATTGAAGCTTAACTAAATTCATTAATATTCTCCAGGCTTTCAGTAGATATTTGAAGATTATCTCTCGTTTACTTGGCATTATTAATTCCACTTAATAGCTGGAAATTTAGAATTCTTATCTCTACTATAATATCTGCATGTATCACCTTAATTTAATCTTTGTTAAAATCTTTCTTCTGTAAAGTTTCAATGAGATGCTCAGTTTTAATGTCAACCAACTTCTATGTTGCTGCACAGATATTAATGACTATAAAAGAACAGACTTTCTGATATTCATTTTGACTCAAATTATTTCTAATTTATTGATAAAATTAGCTTCTAATTCTTTTTAGAGCTTGATAAATTCTAGTTTTAATTTATCTAGAAAATACAGTTATAAAGACAGAAATCTCCAATTTGCAAGCCCTTCTTAATTTCCTAAAAACTCAACATTGACTAAACCAACATTTTTAGCTTAAAACTTTCCTTGATAGCTCTCCTTGCAAAAACATATTTTATCAATTAAAAAAAATGTTTGATAATTTAAGTATATATCAAATTAGATATTAAAAGCATAAAAAACATGGTTCTGTAGGCAAAGTCATACTTGCAAATACAAATAAGAAAGTGAAGAAAGTGGAGAAATTAATCCAAAAACAAATAAAAACCCTGGCTTTGTCTATTTGGTGTAACAACAAAAGTATTCCTCTGGAACACTTGAAATCTCAGAAGTAATGCAGATACTGCTATAAATAAAACAGGTAATGATAATATGAAAGTAAGTAGGTATTCTGGAATTTTCTCTTTTTGATTTTATTGTACCAAAGGACTATGTCTGACTGTTAAAAGAAAGTTTTTTCCACAGTGGAAAGAAGTAGAGGAATATGAATTTCAGGAAAGGCCTGCTTTGACATCAGTACTATCAGTATTACTGAAGAGTTATAAAGAAAGCATTAAAAATATTCTGCCCCTCTTCAACAACAAGCAACAGTCAGTGACATTTCAAAATGAGAAAAAAAAATAAAAAGAAAACCTCAGCTTAACATTTCACAAAAATGTTTCAAAAAACCATAAAGGATGATTTCATATACTGTTTGCAGCCTGTGCATACTAAATATTCATTTAACTTTAAACCACATTATGATGTAATTTTATGAAAATTGACAACAAATGCATCCATAATAACAAACATACCAGTGTTAGCTGCATCAAGAGCTTGTGGAGTCCCTGCTGGCAATTTCTGAAGGGCCTGTTTGCCATCTGTCTTCTGTGGTGAGCTGCTGCCTTGAGGCTGCTGTTGGTCTTCATCTTGAGCAACAAACAAAATTACACCTAAAACAAACAGATACCAGGTGTTGTATTACCCAGGCATTAGCTTCACAAGAACAGACTGCCAGACATGTACAAGTATCTCCTCACTTCAAAACGAATACAAAATGAAGTAAAACTTCCAATCAGGGTGTCAGCCATCCAATTATAATTTATGATATTAAAAAATATCTCCTGAGTGAGTGCAAGGAAATTAACCATTTTTTGTCCCCAGAGAGCTCTTCTACTTGCCTGAAGAGATCCATAATGAGCACCTGAAAAAGATCAGTAATAGGAAACACAATACAAACAAGGACCTCATAAAAGTTCCAAAATCTGATGGTCACTAACTGCATTTTATTCCCGGCCCAATTTTCTCTGTATAATCTTGATTGTTTCTGTTATTTCTTTTTAAATCAGAGTGTCTCATTCTAGTGCTATAAGAGAATAGCTGTAATAGTTAAAATATTCCTGTGATACCTTTTTGTATTGTACGCAAAATTGTAATCAAATATGTGAAGCAGATAAAATACAGAGAGACTATAAACCCCAGATTTTTAAATTGCCAGATCTCTATTTAATAACACAAAATCTAGTATGTACAGGATGCCTTTAAATAATATTAACGCTGTTTTGGAAGATTTGATATACTGGATTTAAATTAGCAAGTTTCATTTCTTCCATTTTTTGCCTCTGTTTAAGAATTTTAAATCTATACAAACTTTTGGAAATACCACACAACATTCTACTTGCATCTAAATTACTGCCCTTCAGTGCTCAAATACATTCTGGAGAGTTTCTATGCCAAAATAAATACATTTTTCAGGTCTAATTCTTGCTTCATATAAAATCTGAGGAGGTGCCTTATTTTATGCCATTATATTGTAAGAAATGTTCTCATTTGCGATTATTAGAATTTATGTGAAACATCTCCAAAAGGGACTTTGTTCATTTTGTATTACTAAGGACTTAGGAAAACTATTATTAATGGAACTTTTAAAATTTGAAATTAGGAATTCTTATGAGAGTCACAGAAAAATTTGATTTGAAAATACCTACATCTAATGTTATCAACTGACAAACTATTCCTACTAAGGATTACATAAAATGATTATAAAGAAAAATCTATTTTTCTTTGAGAGATAGCAACCGAGAAGCACAGGTATAAAATACTGAAGTTAAAAACAAAATTAAAAAAAAAAAATGGAAATACGATTAAATCCAGAGGAACAATATAACGTCAAACTTTAAAAAAAAATAGAATCCCAAAATTTTTTTCATTAAGAAAACTTTACTTAAATACAAATAAAATAAACAAAACTAATTGAAACTAACCAAAAGAATTTCAAATGAAAAAGTTTTAAAAACTACTAAAATTACTCCCAGTAAATAAGTCAGAACTTGGGTCCAAATAGGCAGAGGAGTAACCGCAATTTCCAGAAATTAATATTGAATTTTTTTTCTCATCTTAAAGATAAGGTAGATGTGCAAGAAGGATACAAAAATAAAACCATTATGGAAAGGATAATGGAGACTGAAGAAAATGCTCAAGGTATATAAATCTTGATGTAAGAGTACATATGGAATGACACTACTAGGTAATGAATCATAGGATAAATAACTAATTAATGATTAATAACCATAGGATACTGAACAATTAATGTGTTTTTATGTGAATATATAATCCTAGTATTATTTTGGTCTATTGAATCACAATATTAGAGAGAATCAAAGTGTAAGAGAGAATTTATTAACTTTAAATACCAATCTTGCCATCAATATGCTTGAAAGACGTCAACACTTAGAAGACAATGAGTAGAAAAATGCAAAACTATAGCTTTGAAGTTGATCAAAAAGTCTTGGCTAAATGCTGAAAATCAGTATGTTCATAAATTTGATCAACAGTAAAGAATATTTTGTTACACTTTATTTTTAAATTTTAGTGATTTTTCCTTATAGTTCTTCCATTCCAGTGACCATGGAGGATTTTCTTTACCAATTTTCTGTATTTCAGAATCATGAATTATCCATATGTGAGTGTGGGAGAAAGAGGGACAGAACAGGAGCTATCGTAGTTTTAAGTAATGAGAACGGTAAAACAAAGAGTGACTGTTGTTCTCTGCACAAAACATGGCCTCAAAAGCATCTAAATAATTTGCTGAAGCACTTAATAATTAATTTTTATTTGCAGCAAATATTGGAATGCTTGAAAAGTTCTGAAAGAATAAATTACTAATGCTCAAGAATAGTTCAAGAGCTATGAGAGGAACTATGGTAACTAAAAACTACTTGAATTGCTAAACCACTGTGCTGATAATCCACCAGTTGTATGATCAAAAATCAGTGAAGAATTGCAGTATAATTGCTGGCACTCCATTTTCCTCCTTTATGAAAACCAGATCTCAAACAAACAGAACTAATAACAATGAGGTTATAATCTTGATCGATAAAGGTGAATTGATCTGGTGAATACAGATCTCTGCAAGGCTCTCAATTAAATCTGTGGAAGTATTTCTAGAAAAAGTAATGAGTTTTACTACAGATGGCATACATTTTATAACTCAGTTTATCTGCTTAATCTTAAAATATTCATAAATCGTCTTTCATAATTTTCATGGGCATCAAAGTATCTACTACTGGCTCAAAGCTATTTGAATTTTTTATTAGAGGAAAATAAAAGAAAATCACTGCTGGCAAGAACTGCAAATAACAAAAGAAAAAAGTGTATTAATTTCATGTCAAATATGAAATGCAGAATCCTTATCTGTGAGGACAGTACATAGTATGATCTGCATGACTTGAGTCTATAAATTAAGGCAGAACATTTTCATAAGAAGTATTCCTAATTAGAATACTCTCCTGGTTTTGGAGTAAATGGTGCAACCCACTGACCTCTATTGGATCCTAAGATAGCAGATGATACATAAATATATTAATTTATTCAAATTATGGGCTACAAAAATATTCCTGTCAAGAGATGTTTTGCAGAATGGGAGAAGATTTTTATACAATGAAGAGAAATAAAAAGTACTTTGTGCTCGATGAAGTCATAAATAATACATTGGAAATATGCAGAAACACTGCATCAAAAATGACAGATTTCAAATAACAAATACAAAAAGCAATTTTACATTTTCATGGAGTTCTGCTGAGCTTGGCTCCTATGCTTTTAAAGAGCTTTGACACAGAAAGTTTAGGTCTTCTGGCTGTGAATGCACAGTCATCTTACAGAACGTCTACTTAGCAATGCATCTCACTTTTCATTATTGATGCTACAAAAAAACCTGATAAATTATAATATTTTCATGCACAACTGTCCTCAATGTTTGGGTTTGGTTTTGGTTTTTTTGTATCCAGTTGCTCAGTTCTGATTTCTCTGTCACATATTACACAATAGTGCAACTTGCCAAAATGTCATGGCTGACAATTTTTTAAGCATACATTCAAGACAAAACCAGACTTCACCTAGACCCCAGAGATACGATTTCCACTGATTCAAGTGGCCACAGAATTATGCCATCATCATTTATTTTAGAAAACAAGACTCCTTAGCTGTTCTTTTGCATATATATAATACTAAACTTGCATATATGATCCTAAACTTGTAAAAGTCATAATACAAGTATTTCTAGAATTATACAGAAAATTAATAATTATTGATTATTAATAATAATTTATTATTGAGGAGGTTATCTCTTTGCTGATACATCATTCCTTTAAAAGCTTTTTTGTTCAAACATCATTGCATATATTCTAGCTTTACTAGCCAGTGTTGAAACATTTTATACAACTAAAGTCAACATATTAATACCAAAGCCTTGCTTTCTATTGCTTCAGAGAAGATGCATCCCTTTAAAAGGAGGCAGGCTGTTTTATTTCTCAATAAAATTGTAATTACAACTCCCCATGTTAGACTGACTCATTGGCTATATACTACACACCCCCTGTATCCATGAATACAATTAAGACAGCAAGAAAGGCTCAATACTTTCCTTTCTGAATAACTTAAATGGAATATTTGAAAGATACATAGTGTGCATGATTACTTTCTGCTGCAGAGAGATGATAAAAGTCCACAACATCCCAATATTTTTACTGGAAAAAAGAACAGAAGGCTATAAGGCCATAGAATTCATCACACAAATCTGAAAAGATATAGAAACATTTGGCTTTTGGTTTAAATATACCAACATGAACTTAATAAGGTCTTGGGAGTAGGAGGAGGATTTTTATCTTTTCCTGGTTTTTTTCTGGCCAATGAAATCTATGTATACTTGCTGCCACAGAAAAGTTCCACAGAAGAGATAAGATAAATTAACAAGATGAGTGTAATTTATGTAGCTATTTGGCCAATTATTTTTTCTTATAGTTTTTCTATTGACAAAAAAAAAAAAAAGGATATTTACTGTAGGTTAGTACAAAACTTCATAATCTCTATTTTTCCTAGGAAAAACCTCTATGAGACATGTAAATGCTAAGGACTTTCTGTAAATCCTACTACTTGTTGGTATACTAGGATTAAATTAATTGCTCCCTACAACAATGGAAAAAAAAAGAGAATAAGCTTTAAGACTCATACCAAGGAGAAATGAGCAAGTGGCAAATCCTGCTGTGAACTACCATTCATATATGTGGCTTTGTAGCATTTAATAAAGAGGTGAAATGTTTTATTTATAATTCACTGCCTCTTCTTAATGTGACAATGGAACAACAATATGGAAGGGCATGGGAGCCTGCAGCTCCAACTGCACATGGATGGATG